GAGCAGCTTCCTTCAGTCTTCCCAGCCCTTCAGCGAAGGATTTTCAGGGTGGGAGCCTGCCTGCCCTCTCCTTTGCAGCCCAGTGCAGTGGGGTTGGTCAGGACACAATTAAAATGTTCTGCATCTCTTACAACTCCGGGTCTCCAGGGCATGGATTTTTTTGGAAGGCTGAGACCAAGTCTGTAGAAACTAAGATTTAATCTCCCTTTATCTTTCCCATAGAGAGACTTGTTCTTTTAGCTGTCTCGATATCAATACACTCAGTGTGTAGAAAGTGGCCCAATTTCTTTGTCTCCTGACATCCTGAACCCAGAAGCAGATGGACGTTAACCAGCTCTGATTAGTTGGGAGAATCAAGCATTAATTTTTTATATGCCAGGACCACCTGAGTGATGGAAATCAATTACAGCTGCCCCTCCTCCTTCCATATTAATGCGGTGGCTCTGAGCAGAGACCGAGGAACCTGTTGAAATGAGAAACCCCTATTTCTTAGTTTGACCCCCTAGATAATTAGGGTTAAATTGATATGCTATCGCACTGGTGACACATTTTATCTGCCTCTGTTTGTACAAGAGGATACAATAGTGGAGGAAGGACCAATTTGTGCCCTGCTCTAGCTAACCAGACCGAGATAAAAGGTGTCACTAGTACGATAACGTTCTTGCCTCATGCTCCTTTATTGTTGCTCAATTTGCCTTTTTTTTTTTTTTTTTAATCCTTCTGTTCTTTTTCTTTCAATACCCTTGGTCATATTTTAACTCCATGCCATCGCATAATGACGCCCTGCTAAATGTGTGTGGAGATAGGCAACTCTGGCTGACAGCCTTCCCTGATAACCGAATTCCAGCCCATCCATCACTAGGCTGCTCTCCTTAACTTAAGGAAAGTGATAACTAAAGCAAGGCCATTTATCACCACCGAGCTGTGCGCGTCTTGCTGCCTTGGAGAGAGCCGGCTTCAACGGGAGAAATGCAGCCATGTCACCTCACCTCCTATTTGCATCCCGTTCATCTCTGGGCCCCATTTGTCCTGCAGAGTGGAGGAGCAGGGATAGACTGAAATCAGAGCCTGGGGTGATTAAAACGATGCAGAGCTGCCACTGCTTACCACAGTCCAAGGAGGACTTGGACTTGCTTGACTGGCAGATGAGAGTGTGCTACCTGCCATCGCTTGCTCTTCTGTCCCAAGGGGACCTGTGTTTTGGGAGCAGGCAGAGGTTGTGTGCTCACATCTCTGCTGCTGGAAGGACTGACTTTACTGGAGCTGCATTGGAGGCTGGAGAATCCCATGGCCATTTTCAAGTTTCTCTCTACCAAGCACAGTAATACGTGAAGCCATGGCGTCTGGCTGATGAGGTGGTTTTGAGAGCCAGCAAGTAGTGAGAACTTCGGTGTGTGGGGAGGCAGCGAGACCTTGTTCAAAAGCTAGAAGGATCCCAGGATGTTGAATGCAGTGAAACATGCCGTCGTTTCTCTTCTGCTTTAACTGAGGGAGGGCTGAATCCTGAGCTCTTTGCTCAAACAAGGGCGCTCCCAGTGATTAAGGTTGAATTTTGTGAGAGCAAGGAGCCACGCTGAGCATAAGAGCGTGTTTGCCAAATAAGCTGCCAAAATGAATGGTGGCCCTGGTAAATGGAGATACTTCCTTTCAGACCCTGGCACTTCTGTTCCCCGTGAGACCCACAGGTGTGCCTCGTTCATTCCAACCTGGAGAAGATGCCAGAGAAAGTCCTGCTTGGTCACCAGGCTGAGGAGTGAGGGACCACTGCAAGTGACACACTTAGAGCTGGGGAAAAGACAACACAAGGTTGTTTTCCTTCCTTGTAGCTACCTGGGGACTGGTTTCTGTGCATTGAGAGCCCCTGGTTCCCTGTGCTGGGAGCACTGCGTATCCAGACTAGATGAGACGTATAGGGTTGTCCTTCGCTAAAGGCAGATGTGTTGAGTGGCTGTATCCCTGCTCGCCTGGAGCCACCAGACCTGCATCTTCATAGAATCATGGAATAGTTTGAGTTGGAAGAGACCTTACAGATCATCTAGTTCCAACCCCCCTGTCACGGGCAGGGACACCTTCCACTAGATCAGGTTGCTCAAAGCCTCATCCAACCTGGCCTTTAACACCTCTAGGGATAAGGCATCCACAACTTCTCTTCCAGCTTGGGTAGTAGACTGATGCCTTGGTCTGTGCTGCTGACAGTCCACCCAGGTTATAGTATGAGTGTAGGTCTTCCAATGCTTTATAAACTTTAAGTCTCTCTGATGGAAACGTGAGATGAGGGGAACACAAGCATGGAGGGGGAGGGAGAGTGTCCTTAGGTCACGGGGCTTCACAGGCAGTTTCTGGGATTGTTACTTGTTTGCAAAAATGGGTCATTTATTTAGTTGATATATTTATTTGGAGCATTTATTTTCTCCAATTAAAGACCCACTGTCCAGTGCCCAGGGCATACTGCCATCAGTGTTAGGGTGGAAGCAGAACCAGACTGTCCAGTTTGCTGGGCCTTTTGGTCCCGCAGGGATGGAAATGCTTCCAATGTCATTCATTGCACTGGAGGTTTAGCTGTCAATTCGTGTGGCTAACGATGCCATACTCGCTGCTTGTGGGCCATATCCAAATGTTAGGTGAGATGATCATTATTCCCCTAACTGGAGCTAGGCTGAGACCTGTATTAATGAAAACCTCTGGAGCTGGGGGTAGAAACTCAGCTTTTAGTAGCATACCTTTTGCTAACTGCTGGCGTCATTCTCTCTAGCAAAGTGTGTGCAGTCTAAGAGAGGTTGAGCTGATCATGTGCCTGTATTTAGACTGGTCATTTGTTTTAGATGGTTCCTTTTCTTGTGATCTTTTTTTATTTGGGCACCAGTAGGAAGCAGCTTTCCTGCAGAAAGAGCTTTCTTAGCATGCTGGCTGGGGCTGTTGGGGTCTGTTCAGCTATGGGATATCATGGACATATATGTCATGGCTGTAAAATACACGGACCAGGCTGCTGTTTATGTGATGGCTGTGCAATTGCGAGGAGTGACTCCAGGTGGTTCATTTCAGCGCGATGGTGCTAGCATCAGATGAGCCGTGCCCAGAGAGGAGACCGTGCTGTCAAGTCACATTGCTTACCCTGCAAATCGCCGCTGCCCTGCTGCTTCCAACATCATGCTTTTGACAGGCTTCCTGCTTTCATAGAGATTCCTCTGGACCTCCTTATTCAAACGTGTTTGTACGACTCAAATTATTGCACCTAAATGATGACACGTGCCTCTCTTCAGGACCAGGTGTTTGATTTTGGCACAGAGAGTCTCTTCCTTTCTTAGCCTAAGAAGACAAAGCCAGTACACTGCTGGGGCCCCGTGTATGCTGGCTCCTTTGGCCACGTATTCCCGGGAGATTCCACTCGATACGTTTACCAGCTTCCTTGCTTTTCTTCCCATAGAAATGGAGGCAGCAACAAGACCAAACCACTTCTGGTACTGCGCTACCCTGAGTCTCACGTCATATGCAAGTGCATTATCTGTTTCCCTCCTTCATCTCCTTGCTTTGGAAACTGCTCGTAGGTCTGAAGAGATGCTGCCCTGTTCACCTGAGGGTTTTGGAGCTGGGCTGAGCACTCAGGTACCGCATGGGGTATGCATGGTGCAACCCAGCTCAAGGCGGTGTATCTAGCTTGTATCCACATCTGACCAGAGCTTGTTCCTGAATTTCAGCCTTCAGTCTGAAGTCCAGTCTGGATTCTCCA